TTTCAAAAAATGTAATTTTTGATATAATCATAGGTTGAAAATTCTAATGGAACATGTTGTCTGCATGTTTACACTTGGCTTATCACATGATACTGCTCACAATTTTTTTAATGTATGGAAAGTTAGCTGGGCCATTTCTTATTTTTGTGAAATTTGAAATGTGCGATGTCAAAAGAAAGCCAAATGTAAGGTATTTTATTTTACAGGTTTTGACGAATGATCAGCCGACTGAGAGAGGAAAACACCACCCACGTTCCAAGACCCTAGATATGGCTTATAAAGCTGTACTTGATGGAATGTCAGTGAGGAAGGCTGCACTATCTTTCTCTGTTCCGTTTGCGATCTTCCCTGAAATCGGAATAGACTGTCTGAAATCTGGTCCTGAACCTCTGCTATCAGTTGAGGAGGAGAGACGGTTATTCAAGTATGGAGGTAGCCACTCTTGCCACTCATTTAGCCATTCCTCTTGGCAAGCCATTGCCCATGCAGTGGTTCTATAATTTCATCAAGCGTTCGCCGGATCTGAGAGTTAAAAAAAAGTGCTCCCTTGAACTTCAGCGTGCCAAGGCAACATCAAAGGAGACAGTCAGCCACAACTTCTAGGAACTTGAAAACATCCTTGAGAAGTACGACTTGACAGTCACATCGCATCTATAAAGTAGATGACAAGGGGGTAGTGGAGCTTCACATCCCATCCTGCATTGTGTCATCCAACCACGACAAAACGTATGCCATCACCAATCCCAAGTCAAATACCCATCCATACTCGGATGTGGTAGCGCTGAAGGGACACCAATATCGCCATGTTTTGTTTCCAAGCGAAAACGAATGCGTGAGGAGCTAATGGAGGGGTCACCACATGGAGCGGCAGAAACAGTCTCTGATTCCTGATGGTTGAATTCCAGAGTTTTTTGTTATTACCTGGAGCACCACTTTCTGAAACACGCTGTTGCCATGTCTACTGACCGTCCATTCTCATTCTTTATGATGGACATAGGCCCCATGTATCTCTACCATTGATAGACTAGACGTCAACATAATATTATTCTGTTTGTCTTGCCAGCATATACATCCCATGTCTTGCAGCCTATAGATGTCGGATGTTTTGGTCCGTTTTGCAGGGTTTACAACAACCTTAGACACAAATTCATGCCCTGGCTCTGTAAGCAGACATTCAGTGTGTCATTTGGCCTGCCAAGCCTACGCATTATCATTGACTCCAGCAAATCTCCAGGCCTCTTTCAAGGCATGTGGCGTTTATCGTTTTGACACACTGGCTTCTAACTTCACCCCTTCAACTGTTTTACAAGAGGACCAATCATAAGGTCCTGTGATGAAGGAGGTAGAAGTCGGACAGCAAGACTGTACAGAACATTCAAATATACAAGAAGACAGTGTAGCATTCTTCAGCAGAAGACAAAATATTCTAATGAAAAAATCACAGCCGACAAAGAAAAGGAAAGTCATCAGTGCAATCGTAGGGGGCAAGGCAATTATGGAGAACTTGGTTCTGGTGAAAATCATTGAACACCAGTCAAAAAGGGAAAGGTTGGAATGAGGCACAATAAACCTGACCCCAAGTCATGCACATCAGACGTAGTCTCGCGCCGTCGCGACATCGAATCTGCTGAGTCAAATGACGAAGTTGACGCTAACGAACTATGCTTCCAGTGCCACACATTCCATCCCGAGGAACCTCGAGGATGCGAGTAAATTATGTTTGTGTCGTGGGCCCAGTGCAAGCACCCTTCTTGTCACCACTGGGTACATTTGAAAGTGTGTACCCCTGTGAAGGTAGTACGTGTGCACTCTGAGTTCAGGTGTCCTTGTCACGATGAAAAACAATGAATTAATAGGACACCTGGGACATGTACTTTCTGCATAGTATTTGAAACATCTAGGATGGTTGGGATTGGGGCCGTTTTATTATTCACCAGTACAACTATCATGTAACTTGTACATATATTTGTAAACTTACTCATTTTACAGATCACTTGCGACAACAATAAAATTTGTAGCCCTCCAGGGGCACCAAATTTGCTCAAGAGAGATCACTTCTGGTCTGCCAATCATCTGACCAAAATCCAAAGACGTCATTTTTAAGAAGTTTGTTTTGGTAGCTGAAGCGATTGGCTGATCGCTTCATTTTACAAGTGAAAAAACAAATACGATTTGTGCCAAATATCAATTAAAATCAAGTTAACCGGTAACATTTAGGTTCCATATTTATCTATCCAATGTTAGGGCATGGCAATGTTTCTTTATTATAAGGTCCGAAGCCCGAGTTTAGTTAAATTGTGTTGGGTCTAGTAAGATCTGCTAAAAAATACCATATGATAACACTAAATTGTACAAGAAATAATGGGAAAGTCAAGTTCGAGCTAGGGGACTCAAAAGCTTTAAGCACAGACTGATATTACAGCTACCAGACAGCGAGCTGTAGAGTAGGACCTCTTTATCTTGAACCTATGCTCCAGTCCTGATCACCTCTCTAAATAAAAACATTTAAATTTGCCTGCTTAGCTCTAATTTGAGATAAATGTGCACTATTTCAACCCTGGGACTCAGGCTCAACTTTGACTAAAATTTCCTAGATATATCTGGTACGCTTCCTTGCATCTAACAACCAATTCTGCACTTTTTTTTCAATAGAATTGTAAATGGTAATCTTTATTGACAAATAAAACAATAGTTTTCTTGACTGAAACGCTAAAGAAAAAGGAAAATTCACTCAGTTTGAAGATGTAGAGGAAGCTGTTTTAAAATAGTCTGAATCAGTGAGGAATTCTGATGACCCAATGAATGGCATTGTGATTAACAAGGCTGTTGATCTGGCGAAGAGATACTAGGGGTGAAACGATACATCAAGGCACTGGTGCATCGTGAGTTTTCATGTGATGATATATTTTCTTCTGTATAGATACAAGATGATATACTTGCTAAAATATATTACTTACTACTTGTTCAGTGACTTCACCCCCACCTACCCCCACCCCAGCGATTTTGTCAGTCAAATATCATAAAATGTATTGTAATTACTGTTTCGAGTTCACTACTAAAAATAGACACTACAAATATGTGTCTACATCTAGCTTTCTTTTGAACCTACTCCGTAATATTTATAGTCAATATGTTTCTACATTATTTGACGTAAATATGCGCATCTTGATAAGTAGCGTATCGGTACCATGCTTTATCTTCTTTAGGCTAATGCCAGAAAAAAAAACATTTAAATTTAAAAAGGCTTCAGTGCCATTTGTCATCACATACACATGTTGTGTTCTTCATTTCTCATGCATGCAATCATATTGCTTTGGATCTATAATACTGCTACTTGATCTGTCTGGCTGTCCATTAGGTTGTTTGGAACCAAATCTACCCAGGAATACCTATAAGAGAACAGTCTAGGACTAGACGTAGCAATTTGTTCCATGTGTAAAACAGAGCCCTGATTCTGATAACTTGGTTATATTATATAATAATCTGCTTGATTGTTTCAGTTCTACATGACAATATATGGTTGAGCACACAAACATGTTAGTGAGTGAGTGAGTTGGGTTTAACGCTGCTTTAAACAGTATTCCAGTTATATCGCGGCGTGTCAGCTTAATGTGGGAGGAAAGCCCAAAGTGATGCAGTTCTCAGACGTTTACCACTTCGGTGAAACCCACGAGCACGAGTATGTTGCTGACAAACCTAGAAACAAAATCAGAGCAAACCGGGATTCAAACCCACAATCATAGGTTTTTGGCGTGCCTAAGGAACACAGCTCTGCACAGCGATAATCGCGGTGCCTTAGACGATTGTGCCACCCATGCCCCCAACATGTTAGTATATGAATGACTTCATCACACTTGAAAGACACTGCCTACCTGCAGTTGTACTCTAGCATGGTAATAATAACAGTGTTGAAGTCAGTTGGAATCTATTTTCACATAGAACCAAACAGTTCATTTGCAGACTTGAGTAGTCTACACTTCCAGTATGCCAAATGAAATTGTAAAACAAAATGTTGTAAAGAATGTGTTGATGTTAGTCTTTCATGCGGGAAATCGTACATGCACGAAAACTGATACCTTGATATACAGGACTGACTTACCCATGTCAATTACTTGATGTAAGTTATTTATGTAACATTTCTATAGCACATGTGCCGACAACATAACAGCTCACCAGCCTACCGTTAATTGCCAGAGCATGTGAACTATACATACAGGCCGGACATTTCAGTACAATTGTCAGATGGTTTGAATTGTCATTACATGTATGCACCAAAATCCATTTTACAATTGGATGCATACAGGTATACCTTTTGAGTATATAAGTAAACATATTCATTTATGCTTGCATGACATCAGAGACCATATACCGATATATGGTCTCGGATAACATATAAACATATTTGTTAGTATTAAATATAGAAAAATAGTATATCATGATACAGAAAACAAAAGTGTGCAAGAATTCTTAAAAAAGGTTACCATTCTGCACCACTTCCCGTAAATGTTTGTCCGCAGCCTGTGCAATTTATCTTGCATAAACATCCAAATATTTCGTCTGCTATGATTCCTGTCAAAACAGGACACTTGCAGTTTACTCAAGATTGTATAGTTGTATAGAGAATACAATTACTGTCGCTTATGATATATTTCTACAAAGATCTGTATCTAATTTTAAGGCTATTGATCGGATAATCATTTACAAAAAGTCGTATACATCATGACAATGTCGAAACGAAAATGAGTGTAACAAGTTTTGAGTAGTGACCCAAAACCGGACAATAAAATTGAACAGGTGCTCCTTCCAAACACGTTTTATACAGTCATCGTTCGAGGAGCGCATTCATTTGCTGAAAAAGACACATCGTTAAATATTTGAAAGTACGTTTGCTTTTTCACTTACCCAAGGCTCATCTTTAAGTCATTGTTTTGCCTCAATTTGTTATTTTTATTCAGTTTACATTCCGTGTAACCGGAAGTCAAATGAATGACGGGTAAAGCGTGATCTCGCATAATCTCGCTCGCTCCAGGAAGCTTTGTCTGCCATTATTGCTTCAGGCAAATTGTATTATATTCCAGTTTATTTACTAAATTAGGCGAATTTGAATTGTTTATCGCGTGAAACCATTATAGTAAACCACAGTGGGATTCACAGAAAGATATGGCAACGGCCGCATTATCGCCTGGGCCGTCTGGATCTGCAGGTTTGTGTCTGAAATTAAGAGCTGAATGAGTGTAAACACAGAACTGACATGAACACGATCACAAAATCAGCATCCTGTCCGGTCATATCGAAATATAAGATGATATACACGCTTGAATCAAATATATTGATATGATACGTCTCTCGGACTTTCGCCGTATCAACTCAGTGTGTTCGATACACCTCTATTATGCTTATCAAGGCTAGCCTCAGAGAAGTGTAAAATGGTCAACATGGCTTAATTACCATACTATCACACATCAGCAGGATATCAGTTAAGTGAAGACCAGTGACCTAATCATCAATTTACTATTCATTAAAAAGATCCAATAACACGTTTACCATACAACTGAAAAAAATATTATCAAGGACAACACATGTTATGACATCCTCCAGTTATCTCTTTTCTCTCATATGAATTAGTTTTTGCTTGAATGTTTAATGTGAAAAAAGAAAGACAATGGAAATGTTTGATAGGTTATTATGTTCATTATTGATACATCTACTGTTTTCACAAGAGTAAAAATGCTTTGAAAGAGACAAACCTATAAAATAAAAATAACCAGTTAAAAAAAATGTAATATATGCCTTTTGCTATCCATATCCAATGATGCATTTTCTTAAGAATGTAAACAGAACTATGTGTAGCAAAGTAAAATTGTGTTCTTCGATATGGAAATGTTTGATGTCTTGAATGACAAAACATTACAAACAGGTGTAAGCACTTTCATCATGTTCATGCTGAAATCAACATAGTGCTTACTAACCAGGAGCATAGCATGTCCTTTGTAAATTTTACTCAATGAAGGTTACGAGGATAGTAGTAGGGTTTGAGCATGTTGAGTTCACTATCCCCAATACTTAAAAAAAAGATTTGTTGCCCCAAAATGCCATTTCTTTGGATCAAGAAGACAAATTATTGATAAGACATTTCTTAGATATATTAGCTTTTGTTAGAACAGTAAAATTCATTAAAATTACTGGTAATGAAAGTTTATTATATCTTGTGATTTGACCGCACTGTGTAAGCTTCATTATTGTTGTTATTATATTTCTATGCACCTTTCTGGCATGTGCATATTCACAGGACCATACTTTGGGCAATATGAAGTTTCTGTTTGTGTGATCATCTAAAATAAGTTAGCTTCTAGTTGTAGCCTTCTATATCATGAATACAATTAAGCATGAAACTGAAAGTCAAGGGTCAAGTCAACCCAAATGTTAAAGTTAAAACTTTAAGGGTTCCCTAGATTGTTATATCATTGAGAAGACCTCAAGGACCCAAACACTGCATAGTACACTGACATGGTTGAAGCTGGCTAGTCTTTGATTTTTAATTAGCGGTCATGTCATGTTAATACTTGAGGAATGTTTAGGGGTTCCCTTGATTCAAGTACTATTCCAGAAAATGTAAAGGATCCAAGGATCCTCCTTGGTAAGTTAATGTTTAGCACTGTTTTAAAAATAGTTGCTTTCACATACATTATAGTTACAAGATCACATCCACAGTATACGCCTGCAATCTGAACAGTATGTTGTCATTTTAGTTGTGATACAATTGCATGGAGAGTTTGATTATTTGATTTTTGTTCCTTAAGCATGTTAAGTATTGTAAGGACTCTTATATTTTATCAATGTTGAGAGGGCTACTGTGGTTGCAGGAAGTAATATGTGAGTGTTTGCAAGTTTTTACTACTAATTTCCATTTTCAGGCACACCTGATAGTGGTAAAGGATCCAGGAAAAGAAACCGAGGAAAAGAGTAAGTTTTTCATCACATGTGCCATCCTTTTGGTGTAAACATTTCAGGAAAAAAATTAATTTATTATGTAATGTATAATTGTTTAACAACATGTGTTGAGAACAAATATGCATAATATTGCAAAAATTGTAACTCAGTTTGATTATAAAAAATCCTTGTTAGGTGATATCTGTAAAAGGTCATGGTTTCCTTAGACCTTTTTATCCAGATTTTTTGTGTTGAACATTGTTGAAGCAAGATCCATTTCAAATCATTTGACAAGAACAGCTTTTGTTTTTTTTAAAGAAATTCCAACAGCATTGTCGGGATAATAAAGCACTGAATCCTGATGACTTGACATAAATAAATCTTTGCGTTGTGTATTTAAATCTTAAGTAGGCTTGATATACGAAACTGGGAGTTTTTTACTTAAAATTTTTGATGAGATGGGGATGGGCCTGCTTCTTTCTTTGCATGTGTAATACAAATGTTTCCTGTCATGATATGCTTGCCCAATATATGTCAACTCACCATATAAACCACAACAGATTAGGTAGATCTGTACTATACATGAATCTCAGTTACGGAAGCATTTATGAAACAAACAAAAATACAAGAAATTGTCCACATTTAGCTTGTCGTTTTCAACTTCTTTTTTCACACATTTACTATTGGATATGACAACAAAAAATTATCCGCTGAAAGTTGTTTACTGAGTTTGTGTGAACCATTATTTAATGTGTTTACTGTTGTAGGTCTGATGATGAAGACAGCCAGGGAGGATCTTTCGGCAACAATCTGGAGCAAGCTGATAAAGAGAGGTTTGCTAGGTTTGTATCTGACAAGTGTTGTACGCTTTCTGTGCATGACTTGTAGGTGGCCTCTTAGCTCTATAGAATAGAATAATGTGTTCCAATATTGAAATATTCTGAAGTCTTTTTAACTATTCCCCAACTAATACTAATTACTAATACTAGAGATGCTAGTTCCCAAATATTTGTACTATGGCATGTTTTATGAATTATTAGATCATATGCTGAATATGCATTGATAGGTACAGTTGAGCCCCCTTGTATCAAACTACTGGGGACCTGAGAAATAGACCTTATTACTGCCTGACCTAGCCGTCAGACAACAGAATGCAAACGTACAACATTATTCCGTTACTCAGACCTATCAACCGTTTCTTGTGTTTCATGTTACCAGCTGTATCATGTTTCAGTCATTATCGTTATCATGGTTATACATGACATAAATTTAAACTTGTCCTAAGTTGTGTTTTTCAAACATTTTGAGTTCAACTTATGAGGGTAAATGTAAACATCTTTGTAGCCCTTGGGACTGTAAATTGAGTTTGAGACAACAGAATTTGAATAGAGTGTGAGTTTGACACTGCCAGGGTTGGAAACATCCAAGATCGAGACGATGGGGTTTAACATTCAATATTGGTTTTCTGGAAGGCATCTGAATTTTTTGTTCATGTGATGAGAAGTCCAGTGTATTTTACTCCTGGTTTATGAAGATAAAGATGGAATGAATGGATTGGTTGGGGACAAGGTTAAACACCTTGATGATAAATCTGTTTTGATACCAGCACTCCAGATACTATTTTGAACCATTGAGCATGTTGAGTATTTACTCACTACTTATCATTCACATTGTGTATTGATAGTTTTCTTTGGGGACCAGCGATAGAAACTAACAAGTTTTAGTTTAGTTCACTCGTCCTTATACTGATAACATACAGCAAAACCCTTAAAAATGGCAAAATTTCTTCTGGTCCTAATGGTATCTTAACTGTTGGGCATTTTGACAAGGACTATATAACTGGTGCCAATTTCTAATACTGGGGACTCAGTATGTTTTTAACCCTTTGTGACAAGTCTATTGGGCATTTTTACACCAGTGTATAAACATTTTTCTTAACAATTCTGCCTAAAATGCTGTTTCAGGTGACTTCTAATTTGTATCTGTTGGTGGGCCCAAGTCGCATAAACTCACAGCAGCGATATGAATGTGTAATAAACAATAGCCAGATGCATTATCCATGTATGTGCAATGCCCACATTTGATCAGTTAATAAAGATCTGAAAAGAAATACAATGTACAGGTATGCAGGATAAATTGGGTAATTACGCTGAGTGTTGTTTTGCTGTTAGACTTTTGAGATTGTTCATGCATATATGTACACAAGCAATGAATTGGGTATTGGGGATTTAGTTAGTGTATTTTATGTAAATCCATATCTTACCTGGAGCTCTGTTACTTTGGCAGGTCAAATGTGAACACTGGAATATATGTTTTATCTGTTACATAGTGTTTCTTGAAATGATGTTGATTCTTTTATGGTTCAGCCTGAGTTGTTTTATGATTATAAATTTTATTGTTTAGTGGATTTTCTAGTTCCAGATGCTAGAGGTTAAGCACACATGGTTTTGAGGTCAAATACAAAGAAAGCGAAAGGTGTAAACTTGGTATCACAAGTTCAGTATTACATATCAGTATGGTTGTTTTATTTTCTTTAAGGGCTTGATTTCAATTAAGATTTAAACAAAGGCAAAGTTTGTCAGCATTATTTTTCCAAACTGTTTGCTGTCTCTTTCTCTTTCATTTTTGTTTTATCATCAGTTGACTTATCTGATAGCTGAGATAAGAGGGGGTTAAATGTGTATTTATTTGTAATCTCTGATCCAACACATATGGTACTAATTCTCTGGATTGCTTTGGACTGTCTGAGGAGAAATGGTTCTTCGTAGATTTGCTGTATTGATGTGTTCAGACGATGGACTTCGGCATGTGTTAACTAACCCTGAAGCATGATCCCTCCGGCTGTCAGAGTACACTGTCCCTAATAATGCTTTCCATGGGTAGATGTAGATAGGCTGTTGCAGAATGAACAGACAGGCCTTGTTAGTCATTATTGTGCTGTCGAGAAATAAACGGAAATGCCACCCTATTTTATTTCAATATATAAGTATTGTGTTGGAAATCGATGGAACCATACTTGTTGAACATTTGAATTGCTTAAAAGCAATGTGCAGACTTGTTCACCCATGCAAGGAATTAACAATTTGTATTTCTAATATTGATTAATAGGAGCATATTGAAACAGTTACGATCAGTATGTCAATTTCTTCTTTTCTTTTGCCATTTCCCTCAAATAAATCTCATGTAGGACTCCGAAAAACTATCTGATTGATAGGTTTCCCTTGTAGACCAGACAAAGATATTGACTTTTGGAAACTAGCTTTAAAGTAAATGATTTTCAGAAAATTGCAGTGAAAGCATTTTTCTTTATTTTCGACAGTACTTAGTGTTAGTGGTACAGATGCATCCTAGTTTGAACATCCTTTGCAAATTAGTTATGGTCCCATATTTCTCATGGCATGATGGGCAAATCTGGTGCAACTTGGTGATAATCAAGATGTCTTTAAATCTGTTATGTCATGTACCATGTATGAATGACTCTCTCACATCTTCATATTGCTGTACATGTAACATTGCTTGGACCAGATGAAAGGTGAAGCTGCCTATTAATCAACAAGCTATGAGAAATTAAGGATTTTGTATAATTCATAATTGTGATTATTGAGAAGGATCTTTTAAAAGTTACACATTTAAGAAAAGAAAATCAAGCAAAACATGACTCGTTAACCTTGCACAGAAACTTCAAAGCAGTCAGCTTATTGTTCACCTGACGTACTGTCAGCAATCTATGATGTCCTTGTTCTGTTCAGTGTGACATCATTTCACTTCAACTGACCAACCATCATTGACAATGATGTACAATTGCTTAAATGTACATGCGGAAATATCGGAAAGCTGTACTCAAGCTTTCTTACCTTATTTGTAATATATTTGTTTTTTGTTCACACAAAAAAGTATGTTCAAACATTTTACTAACTTAGAAGCTGTTACTTTCTGTTTAATGCTTCAACTAAACACTGAGTAACAATTGTTCATCTGACCTATGTTGAAGTTATGAAATATTATATTTTTGTCGTGATGTGTAAACCTGACTGAATGTCAGTATCCTAGCAGGGGTAGACACCATTCTTCATATCTAACTGGTCCAGACTAATGTGTAATGTGAAATAACTAGAACAAGAGTCTGGGACTAGTGGATGGCATGCTCCAGGCATGTCCCTTGAGCATGGTACATGTAGCCGACCCCTGCTGTAGGCAGCAGTGTGCATGGGGGCATGTCGGGATGATGCATGGGTATACTTGTAGTTTAGAACTTTACCACCTTTGTCCAAATTAACAAATATTTTAAAACTCATATTATTGTCCTCATATCCACCTGGAAGAAAGTGAATCAGTTTTGTAACATTCAATTGTAATGATATTATTTGTCTTCTGACACAGATATGTGATAAAAGGTAAACATGCCCAAACAGTCAAATAATAAGTTAATAATCACTGATACAGCCTGAGATATAATTGACAGATTCAGAGAATAAAGAAATATGTAATTTAACAGGACAGGGACTTCTATAATGTTTGTATTGTTCCATTTTTACAGAAGATGAATGTCATGCTCATGATTGTATGTCACACTGTAAGCATGCAGGGGTGGAAATGTGAGCATCCAGTGAAAGGTGTATATTAACTCGGAAAACAGTGATGTTTCTAAATGAAATATGACTTAATGTTTTATTGGACATTGACTTCTACTCCAGGCCATAAAACTGTATGAAAGTTATTACTGTTATCCTTACATCAGATAGGCCCTGTTATGCACCACAGAAAGAAAGAAAATTCATGATAGCCCGTATGAAAGTTTATCAATATTTATGTAGGTCATTTTGCATCTCACTTGAGCTTACATTTCTAACCATTGAATGCTTGCCTGAAATAATAAGCAGACCGCTACATTTGTGAATAATGTGCGTAGTACGCTACTTGCCAGAGAGAGTCACTGTGAGATCGAACGGCGGCGGCGGAACAAGATGACAGCTTACATCAACGAACTATGTGACATGGTGCCCACCTGCAGCACCCTGGCCCGGAAACCAGACAAGCTGACCATTCTCAGAATGGCAGTGTCACACATGAAGACACTAAGAGGTAATTCTCACTCTGAAGGGCTAGAATTTATTTTTCAGGATAAAGTGGATTGAAAGTGTTATCAATGGGTTAATATAGTGGAATTGTTTTGTATAATAAATGTACACATGTAACTGTTTATTTGTAATAAAACATGATAGTGTACCTTTCCTTTAGGGCTCAGACTGGTAACTCGGGTATTAGGTCGGGTGGGTCACTATAGCCACTGCAGTGGTTACACTTCAAGTCACTAATGTTTGTATTTCTTTCTGATGATGCCCACATTCCCTTTGACTTGTATATGTTTGAGTAAAGATAAAGTTCAGTCAACTTTAGTTTACGTATGATCTGATCGTGTGATACATGTATCTTAATAGTTTTTCCCAGAAATTTTGTTGCCAACTCTTGAGACCTACAGTGGGTACCCAGGTAGGGTTGGGTTATAGGGGGTCGGGTATCCGGGTAGTAAATTTGGACTCATTCCAGCCCTATTTACGTCTACTCTGTCAGTTTGTAGAATGTCATGTTGGCGTTTGTGTTTTCATGGGTGATAATGAGTGAGGAATGTTTTCAGGCACTGGCAACACTAACACAGATGGATCGTACAAGCCATCATTCTTGACAGACCAGGAGTTGAAACATCTTATTCTCGAGGTAATCTATTTGTCATACGTGTATGGTCAATACCGGTTCTTGGTTTTCAGGATTGTACTGTTACTCATCCCTAAACCTGGCCTCCAGTTAAACACAGTTAAGTCCAAAAAAAACTTTTTCCGAAGGCTCCTTTAAGGGTAAAGGAGTGAAAACCAAAATGATACCAAAGTTACAGGGTTATCTCAATACTAATGAATTAAGTAAGATAATTTACAGAGAAAAGTTGGGCTAATATATTCTGTATGCTTTACAAACGAGTACAGAGAGGGAAAACGTTAGATTTATAGGACGCTTCAAGAACTCACAAAACATCGGCTCAAGGAGCAATTAGCAGAAAGACTTATGAAGTTAAAATTAAGGTTGAACATAACTATTCAGTTAAGTTATAGTTAATAATAACTTTTAACTGTTAGGTAAAGCTATACATACATTTTGGTACCCCACCCCCACATCACACTAAAAGTAAACTTTCAGATTTTCAACAGAAGTCCTCTTGACTGTCAACTATTCATTTATAGTTGTATCCCTGATAGCACTTTGGATTTTCCTGATGCAACTCATGACATATCTTGGTTTCCTTATTCATCCGTCCAAGTCAGAGTTGAATCCTACTCAGAAGTGAGTTTATAAATGACGTCAACATTGCTGGAAGTTACATAAACAGTACCGGAAGTGACATGTACGGATGACTCTTCATTAAGATCTGAAGCAGTCCAAGGATGTGAGAATATGATTCTACTAGACTTACTGCCGACTATACAAGGGAGTTACAAGCGGCGGAACTCACCGTTCCCACTAGTTAATTCTGGCAATGATGTAATAAAAGTAGACGATTTGTAAGAATTACCAAAACAATAGTTATCATTGTTAATAATTCTAACAATACTACATCTATTACATCAGACTTACTCCCTCCCACCTCACCAATCATCTGTCGCTAGTGAGGATTTTCCCGCCTTTGCACATGGGAGAGGTAGTCCAACGTGCTGTTAGGGATACGACTGATAATGTTTAGATGACAGTGAAGAGGACTCTGTTGAAAATCTGAAAGTTGTAGTGTGATCGCAGCCAAAATACAGGATTATGGCAATGATGTAATAGAGGTAGTATTCTTTGAATTATTGACAATGATAACTATTGTTTTGATGATCCCCAACTTCAGTATAGTCATTTTAGTCCAGTTTTGGAGCTTGTATTTTTCAAAACATGTCACATGAATTTTTAATGATAACAATTCTAATCTGTTGATTTGTTTTCAGGCTGCAGATGGGTTCTTGTTTGTTGTGCAGTGTGATACAGGTCGTATTATCTATGTGTCAGACTCCATCACACCTGTCCTCAACCAATCACAGGTAGGGCACAAGCACTAAACCCATGAAGATTTGGTTTAGAATAGGTCTCTAGCAACCCCTGCTTGTTGTAAAAGGCAACTGTGCTTGTTGTAAGGGGCAACTAATGGGATCGGGTAGTCAGACTCACTGACTCGGTTGATGCATGTCATCCTATCCATCGTAGATAGATGCTCATGATGTCAATCACTGGAATGTCTGGTCCAGACTTGATAATGTACAGACCGCTGTCATATAGCTGGAATATTGATGAGTGCGGCAATATAGTTCTAATGGTGACAAAAGCATACTCATGCATACTCCACTCACTTTCTTTTTATAGTCATCTAACTTTTTCAGATTTTAAATGTACTTCTCAAAATAAGTTAAAGAACACCCACAATTGGAAGGCTGTGTGTTGCAATACCCACCAGCCTTAACAGATTAAGTATAGTCATAAAAAAAAATTGGTTGCTCTTTAACTTATTTTGAGTAGTATGTTTACAAAATTACATTGACATGGATGTGACGTTCATGATGATGCAATTCAGTTCATGCACAACTGATTTGGTTTCAGTCTGACTGGTTTGCAAATGTCTTGTATGACCTTGTTCACCCTGATGATGTGGACAAAGTGAGAGAGCAGCTTTCTACAACCGAATCTCAAAACACAGGACGGATCCTAGATCTCAAGAGTAATCTCACTTTTAATTATTTAAATCATCATTCCAAATAAGGGACCCTTTCCACAAGTTGATCTTAGTGCAAAGACGATTGTTACTCCCAAACTTTAACATCCACTTATAACAATCATATCTCTAAGATCAAATGTGGAACAGGACCCAGAGTCTTAATTTTTGTGGATATATTGCTTTTACTTCTACATGCCGAAGGCATACAAGCTTTGTTGTTTTATGAAATAGTATTATTATTGATGTTGTATGTGTATGACCATTATAAATTATATGAAGTGTTTTTCATTTTCAGCCGGTACTGTGAAGAAAGAAGGCCACCAATGTAAGTTTTTCGAATGCCAATTTTTTAATGAGATTTGATGCTGATGTTGGTCAAAGACTATACCTTAGTCCCATTAGCACATCTTTATATCATGCTTATTGAATGAATGGACCCATGAAGATCCGGGGTAGAATAGGTCTTCAGGAACCCATGCTTGCCGCAAACGGCGACTATGCTTGTCATAAGAGGCGACTAATGGGATCGTTGGTCAGGCTAGCTGACTTGGTTGATGCTTGTCATCGTATCCCAATTGCATGGGTCGATGCTCATGATGTCAATCACTGGATTGTCTGGTCAATACTTGATTATTTACATATTGCTGCGGGACCCGAGAAGATTCGGGGTAGAATAAGTCTTCAGCAACCCATGCTTGCCGTAAAAGACAACTATGCTTGTCGTAAAAGGCGACTAACAGGATCAGGTGGTCAGGCTCGCTGACTTGGTTGATGCATGCCATCGATCCCAATTGCGTGGATCGATGCTCATGATATCAATCACTGGATTGTCTGGTCCAGACTCGATTATTTACAGACCGACGTCATATAGCTGAGTTCGGCGTTGAACAACAAATCAAACCAAACCAAAAAACTTGTTGCTTAATACATCTTATGAAATGTATAGGTTTGTGAGCAAAGTCTTCATTGTCGTTTTCAGCATCAATCCGCCTTTGTATGGGGTCTCGTCGTGGCTTCATCTGTCGTATGAAAATGGGCAATGTACAAGTCGACCCAATGACAGCTAATCACACAGTTAGGATACGACAGAGAAACACCTTAGGACCCTCCCATGACGGCAATCATTACTCTGTTGTCCACGTCACAGGATACATCAAGAACTGGCCACCATCAAGTAAGTCCTTTTGTAAAGAGTTATTCATGCACATAGAACAGTGCTGCACAGGTCAAGGGAAACATCTCCGTATTCTCAGCAGACACTTAGAGGAGGATTCCATATAGGCAGACAATCGGAAATAAGTAGTAACATATTTTCTTGAGTATAGTGCACACTTTTAAAAAAAACAACACAGCTGTGTAGAAGGGGGTGCACATTATACACATAATAATGCGTGTATATTGCATGGATACATATATGAGAGAATGGATACATATATCATAAATGCCATACTTTGACTCATTAAAAGTCATATTTGTTATAGTTTGACGATTCTACGTCAACACGTCGTTTTCGCGATCACATGAGTCTCGATGGTGACTGGTCAAACTGGTTCCATGTGAAAAATAATCACGGGCAAAAGCAATCAGCTGCAACTAAAATAACAAGATATTGGAATATATTATTCCTGATAAAAAAAAATAGATTCACATACAATTTTGGCCGATCCTTGCATTAAAATCCTGTAAATTTATGTCATTGGGTGTGTCTTGACCGAATCACCGGTAGATTCCAAGAAAACCTGTGTACAGCTGATTGCTGTTTCCGGCTTAGTTTACGAAAAAATACACAAGGTAATCTTAATCCCTGGATGTAAAACAATGCCTAGCAGAATATTAAATACAATTGAAACGGTAAATCAACATGTCTGGTGATTTTTTATCTCAAATTTCAAATTTGTACTGACCAAGTTTCTCATCACCCGTTCGTTTACTGGAATTCGCTGAAGGGGTATGGTGTAATTTATTTCTGCACATAATATTCGATTATTATTTTTTCAAAATACTGAATCCGTTAGAGGGGGGTGCGCATTATACATGGGTGCGCACTATACTAAAAAAATAAGGTATTTCTTACTGAGGAACAATGGGTGAATGTCTGCTAGTTCCCTGCAGTCAGCGGTAGAAACTAACAGTCTCAGTCCACTTGTCCTTATAATGATAACATATAGCAAAACCCCAACAAATGGCAAATTTCTACGAGTCCTTATGATACCTTTACCATTGAGCAGTTTGGCAAGGACTACAAGACTAGTGCCAATTTCTAACGCTGGCAGTGTGATGATACATATCTAAGCCTTACATTTGGTTCAGTAGGTCTGCAGATGACTCTTTTAACTGCATAAATCATAAATCTCTTATGATGAAGTAGACATAATTAAGACTCTAAACTCTGATTACATACAATTAAGGAATGCTGCGCTGTAATTCATCTCTTTGGCATTGATCATTACCTATGTGTCTTGTGACTTGTTGGTGGATTCCACCCCATGCTAAATGTGTGTTAGTTATTGCGTCTATCGACTGATAATAACCAGTCGCAATAATCGATTAGAAATGCTGGTTACAGGTGTCCAGATAGATCGCCAGGATGGTGATGAGCATGGCGGAAGTCATTGTTGTCTTGTAGCCATTGGTCGCCTCCAGGTAACTAGCACGCCCAACTGCAGTGACATGCTTGGACCTAATGCGTCCTCGGAATTTATATCACGGCACAGTGTAGATGGAAAGTTCACGTTTGTGGACCAAAGGTAAGTGCAATTTGGATATTTATTAGGATGGTTATATTTTGTTCAACATGGTGAAATCATTTGTATCGTTCTAAAAATATGCCTCAGTGGTTTAATTGATAGTGTGTGTGCCCTGAGAGATGGAGGTCAGTCTTTCGATCCCAGAGAAAAGATGTTACTTGTTGTTATCCTGCTTAGCACATGTTAATAAGAGGATTAAAGAAGGACTGGTCAGCTCTGAGTCTGTTTAATGTGTCTGGGTGCAGGGGAGGGGCACGGGTGGACCAGTCGTCTAAGGGGCTGTGATTTCGCTGTGCAGAGTTGCATCCCTTGGGCACGCCAGAAACCTATGATTGTGGGTTCGAATCCCAGTTCGCCCCAATTATGTTTCTAGGTTGTCAGCACCATCCCCGTGCTTGTGGGTTCACCGAAGTGGTAAACATCTGAAAACTGCATCACTCCGGGCTTTGCTCCCACATTAAGCTGACATGCCGTGCGTGATATAACTGGAATACTGTTAAAAGTGGAGATAAACCCAACTCACTCACTCACTTGGTGGGGTATCCATGTTAACTGCAGCATGGTATCATGAGTGGGCTAGCACTATAAAATCCAAAATTTGTGCTTCATTGGTGTTATAGGATAGGTATCTGAAAGGAATCTACAGGGTTTGTAATGTGATAGACACATTGACATAATGGTTTTTGACTGTACTAAATATGTTTTCAATTTTCAGAGTAACAGCTGTGCTGGGTTATCAGCCTCAAGAGCTGCTAGGAAAGTCTGCCTTTGATTTCTACCATCCTGAGGATCAAGCTCATATGAAAGACACATTTGATCAAGGTAGTTCATCATAGGAATGCAAATAATTTGAATTACACTTTCATTTGATCCTTTTGAAGGAATATTCAACTTTCACTCAGCTGGAAAGATTGATGGTAGGAGCAGTTATTAGCAATATCGAACTAACAAGGATATGGTTTTGTGGCAACACTGATGCTGTCTCCTAAATGTTGACATGAAACCATGCATTGTGGGAGATAGCAGCTGGGATTGTGTGTTGAGGGCAAGTAAACTCAACATAGCAACGTTGCAGATTTTAGTACTTTAGGGCATACTTAATCACAAATTCTTGACCAAAGTTAAATTTGAAATTGCCTTCTAAACGAAAAAATCTGTCACTGGCAATAAAACAGCCCTGGTGTTCGAGGCACTGCAAAATTTGATTGGATGTATGGGGCTCTGTCTGCCAGCTTCCGCCTTGGATTATTTAATTGCACAACAGACTTTTCTGTCGCTCATCCGTGTCCACATCTTATGTCAACCTGCGCATTATTAGTAACAAGACCTGTGAAGATTCAGGGTAGAATAGGTCAGCAACCCATGCTTGCCGTAAGAGGTGACTAACGGGATCGGGTGGTCATGTTCGCTGACTTGGTTGATGTCATTGTATCCCAATTGTGTAGACTGATGCTCATGATGTCAATCACTGGATTGTCTGGTCCCGACTCAATTATTTACAGACCACCGTCATATAGCTTGAATATTGCAGAATGAGGCATTAAACAACAAACAAACAGACAAGCAAATAATAGTAACAACATTGAGGATGCGTTCAGTTGTCTACTCAGGGTAATAATCCCTGGCAGCCATTCATTGTGTGGAATAGGAGCTCTTGTGCTCAAACAGGATGGTAGTCATAAAAATCAGGTTTCAGATTGTTTATTGTTATTTAATTATTCACAATGTCAAGATCAAATGTCACTTTCAGCAGTGTATGCAATGTTGTTATTCTTGTAGGAATAACAAAAATAGCTGAAATATTATATGTACAGCAGCTAAGAAATACAAGATAGTTAGACACGGCAAACAGTTCTACATATCTGACAATGAAATCATTTATCATGCACAGCTGTGGTGGTAGCTTTAGGCCACGCCCCCTAATAAGTTGTTTTGGAAGCTGATTATGGAGGGCATGATTTCACTTGAACATTTAAATACTTTTTATGAATATTATGAATTTCTCTCTCTGAAATTGACTAAATGTAACGAGGAATCTTGATTTTCACAACAAAATCGCAATCATTTCTTTTCAGTTTACTTGCTCTTTAATATTCAAAGGTTCATCCCTGAATTTACCTGTTATCCAGTCTGTTTGGTTGTGGATCTTCGTCCTGTCTAAATCACAACACATGAATATTATGTAGAATAGGATCCAGTATAAAAGAAACACCATGGCAAACAAATCATGTTTAATCTAAAAACATCCATCTTTCTTTGCACTTTTTTGATGGCTAATGTATCTAGCTGTGTATGTGTGTTTGTACACTGCTATATGTTATTGTAACTACGGGAGGATGAGCAGTGTTTGAAATAAAAAACAAATTCACAGGCTGGCATCAGGACCCACAAACTTCTGAAGCTGCAGGCCTTGACTAAACTCTTCAGGCCCTCATTTTAAAAAAGACCTGCAGCTTATTGTGATAGATAAATAGACACATAAATTAACTGCAGGCCTTAAGGACCCATACAAATTTGAAACTATGGGCCCGATACAAAATATACCTTCCATGGGCTTACAGGCAGAACTCATTTCGAACTTGTTAAAGCATGACATCTGTTGTGTCCCTCTACTGTAGTTATGCTGTATGTGTCTGTCTTCCAGTGCTGAAGTTGAAAGGGCAAGTGATGTCGATCATGTACAGATTCCGAGCCTCAAACCGAGACTGGGTGTGGCTCCGCACCAGTAGCTTCAGCTTCCAGAACCCCTACACTGACGAAGTCGAGTACATTGTCTGCACAAACTCATCAGCAAAGTGAGTAACAGGACCCTTGTGACAGTTAGTGGGAAGAACAGGTTTTCAGGGTGGGGTAGGCTGGGTGGGGACTGCCTGGTTCAGAATCAAGTGTTTTGAGGCCACCATGAAAAAACACTGAAGAAAAATTCATTCACTGTAAAAGTAGAGTATCCTACTCTTTGTGCTGGACATTATTTAGTAGTCAGTGTTAATGTGTTCTCTCCGGGCGGTTGGGTAGCCTAGTGGTTAAAGCGTTTGCTCGTCACGTCAAGACCCTGTTTCGATTCCCAACGTGTACAATGTGTGAAACCCATTTCAGGTGTCCCCCGCCGTGATATTGGTGGAATATTGCTAAAAGCCGCGTAAAACCATACTCACTCACTAATGTGCTCTCACTTTGTGTACTGGAATGTCGAACGGTTACATACTTGTTTGAACAATCAAAACAACAACGAAAAAACACCACCCACACTATGTTTTCAAAAGCCATTGCCTTAGAACCAGTTCTTTCTTCTTCCTTTTTTTTTAAGCCTTATGTGTGTTGAAATCACAGTTTGGAAGTGAAATCCTGCACCATTTCATTCTGAGAGTTGCACCAAGTTGTTGATAACCAAATTAATCTGTCTGTGTAGGAGTGTCCAGCAAGGTCCCTCCGCTGCAATTCCGAACCCAGGTGATCAGTCTGCGGAACCCACTCCAACCATCAACACATATCCTGCCAACCGCACCATGCCGACAGACATCAGGAAGGATTACAATGAGGCCCCGTCTTATCCCTCCGACACCAGCCGTTTTATTGCCCCTGATGTGTACTCCCAATACCAGCAGCCCACAATTAGGTACCCCAGTCATTCTTCCAGCATGGGTCTGTCCCAGACCTCCACAGTGCCTTCTGTAGGACCGGGGATCATGAGGAGGAGCCCCGCCCAACCGGCTGGCTGGTCAGGTGCATATTCCAGAGAGGTGAGTTCAGACTATTCTGTCATACAGACCCTGAAACACATATATCCAATACAGCCCATACAAGTCTAGGACAGTTGGCAAGCCTTACTGCAGTTCCAGGAAGTGGAGAACATACAATTTCTGTTCGATAGTGAGAGTTGGGGCGTATGATTTGATTGTAGATTCTGGCTCACAAGAGATTCTTCTCTGTGTCATGGCTGACTGTTCTGTCATCGTGACCTGGGAACATTATGTTGTTAATTTCATTGGTGCTGGAAATATAGCACTGCCCTGACATTACAAAGATTAGCAGGTACTCACAATAATGGTTGCCCACTTTTCATGTTTTGTTATGGATCATTAACATGACATACATAAATATTTGCCCTTATGTTTTTTCTGCTATTTGGGCATGTTATAGTTAGACTTATGAGTGATATGATGGTTTGGGTGTTTACAAGATAATAATTGACTGATCATTCACTAGCCCACCTAAACTTCTTGTAATAATGTATTATGAAACCATGGCTAGACATGACTAGACATGATGTTTAGATTAAAAAATACTTAATGTCATGGCTAATGTTATAACTGAAAAGAACTTTAAATACAGTGATAGGAAGACCAAAGATTTTGTATCTCCTATAACTAATGTTCATTTCAAGGCGAGTTCATGTTGAGTTGATGTGATTTAATGTAATATTTCTCATGATACGAAACTATGGCTTTGTAAATGTGCAGAGTGGACCAGACTACATCGGGGCTGGAGCAGGAGCTCCCCAGGGCTACAGTCAGATCAGCCCCAACACCAACTCACCAGGTAAGGCCTCCCGGCTCTCTCAGCATGCTCTCCCCACCTCTCTACATCTCCGCTAGACGTCCAACCCCAGTCTGTCATCCTTAGTGCATTGTGTCATGTTTGTAGTCAGTACCTAGCCTATACTTGTATTACTCTACTTAGTTCTTATACCATTCTCTAAACTCATCACCAACAGCCCAAACTATTGAAGGTGTGTACTAATGATGCAGTCTGTGACTTTAACCACTGGTCTCGACGCCTGAGTCATGTAAAATTATTTCAGTCTAGTACATGTAATAAGTTATGCAAATATACATCCACTAAGATCTACTGAAGATGATGTCAAGTGACATGTTAGGGCAAGTAGACTCAAAAGATGTTGGAACAGACTGTAACAGCACACCAAATGGTCACTGACTGTTGAGCTAAAAGGTGATGCATGCCTCCTCTCCATCATTTACCACCTATGATAAAACCACAATTCACTGTGCAGTGTTGCATGCCAGGATTGTGGATACGAATCCATGCATCGTGGGGACTCGGGGCAGAATGTGTCTTTAGCACTCCATTGCTGGTCGTAAGAGGCGACAAACGTTCTTCCTTGAAAAGTGCTTCAAATTAAGTCCAAAGATCTGTAGGAACCCTGAATTTAAATACCGTTCAATTTCTGTTGTTTATGAGTCACAATATGGCTGAAATATTGACGATGTGACTTTATGCATTAACTCGTTCACTCACTGTTATTTACGGCCTATAACTGAAACAACTTGCAGACCTGTTTACTTCCCCCTAAGGAATTAAGATTTGTATCGGACATCAAACTTTTTGAATCCCTGATCTATTGTAGAGATCTAGACCTTATCTGATCTTCAACAACTATGTGGAGAAAAATCCCATATTTTCTATCTGTCCCTTTGCCATGTTCGAAATTGTTTCCAAATCATTAAGTGATACACACAAGGCTGACTTACTGGCAATCTCATTAAAATAAGATCTTAGTTCTCACTCTCGCTAAACAATGATCTGAGGACATCCCATTACAGGTCACGTCAGAACGAATTTTCACGAACTTTGACCAACCACTGAAATGAGTAACAAGAAGTCGACATCAGCCAATTAGAAAGTGGCTTTCTCCAGCTTTACGGCATTTGTTTCAACCTGGTGACTTCCATTTCAGACTACCCTTGATAATTATGTTTACACAGTTATCGATTAAAATTTTGAAAACTGAACAAATGAACATTCCGGAATGTCTAATATATGGTTTATAATGTATGGCAGTGCTTCCCACGTACTTTGCAACGCCTCTTCCGTTCATATAGGCGATGATTTTGACGGAATCAGTCGTACGGGCCGTAACTGTTGTTCAGAATACCCTGTGTTAACGTTTTCGAGGTTGCATGATTAGAAAATCACTTTCATGATCTGGTAAGTGACGATCTGATTGGTGGGATGAAAGGTCGTTCTGACGTGACCCATGATGGGATGTCCTCAGATCATTGTTTAGCGATTGCTGGAACTAAGATCTGATTTTAATGAGATTGACTTACAGGAAAACTCTTTGTGTATAGAACATATAACCATTCACGTGGATGTTGCTGAAAGCATTGTTGATGCTATTTGTTCCTTGTGTTTGACAGTGCTGCAGTCTGTTGTAATGTCCTTGTGTGTTGTGACAGTGTCTCTGTTTGGAACGTCTCATGTTTCAGACCTACGGGATGGCATTAACTGTGATGGGGACATTTTATTTCACTGAAAACAAGTGTTGATAAAAGATATTGACGTTTAAGTGAAGTGCAATAATCAAAACCGAATTTGCAGTGGCAACTCATTTATTAGATGGAACAGCTCAAGTACATTTTGTCAGTTGTTATTCAACCTTTAATTATATTGATCATCGTTGATTGTTTGGCATTTAATATATCTATGCATGTCAATGTGCACGTTTTGTAGAACAGTCTTTCTAGAAATAGCATCCTGCAGTTTTAGGCTGACAGCTTTATGAAACGTATAAAGGATATTGATATCAGAGCATGGTAATGTCTTTACTCCTGTCAAGTATTGAGTCATACTCTGCTTTCCGATATCTGCATGAACATTTTCTTTGTATATCAGTAATTCATTTACCTACCTGAGATTGGAAATTATTTCTTCTTGTTGTAACCGATGTTGAGTATAGTGAAATTTTCTCTTTTCTTTCATTTCATGTAAATGGAATATCAGTTATTTGTGTTAAATCTCAGTCTGAATTTAACTGTTCTGTTATATTTTCTGTGATAATTTTTCTTCTTATCGATAACACAAAGTTAACATGATTAAGTTAACAGTACCTGAAGGCTGACATTAGTCATTTGGAAGATGGTGGCAAAATATAGATTACACTTCTAGTCTTAAGAAGGAAAATTTTCCAGAAAGCCCTTACTGTTGTGATCATAGTATTCTTATAGGTTTGTGCCCAGCCTTACGTGCCAATAAATCAAAAGGTATGTTTGAAAACTTGAATACAGTGAGTGTTTATGTAATGCTGCACTTCCACCAGTATTGAGCTATTGCATCTATTGCTGTAGTGGGTCCCAGCACCGGTAGTGCCATCCCAGCAGGTGCCCCATCCTGTCAACACCTCGCTTATCGGTCCTCCTCCACAGGAAACCCCACCCTCTGGGGACAGTGGCAGCAGGGGACGTCCGGTGATGTGGCAGCAGCGGCGCAGGCAGCAGCAGTGCAACAGCAGGCGCAGCAGCAGGCACAGCAACAGGCACAGCAACAGGCACAGCAGCAACAGGCACAGCAGCATCAAGGACAGGAGGAGTTCAGTGACGTGTTCAGAATGCTGGATCAACCGGCCTCAGAATTCAACGACTTGGGAATGTTCCCCAACTTTACAGAATGAATGCAAGGGATTTGGGGAATTTCTAGGGACTGTATGAACAAAGTGGGAGCCTGATGGTCGACACATGGGTACCAGTGAATTGGAAGACAGTATTCATTGAGAGTATTGTGTGCAGTGTTGCCATCCATGTGGATGAAATGGGAAAATATTTTTGTTTGGACAAATTGAACATTTCAAAGTTGGTCACATGGTAACTAGCAGTACTGAATATCTTCAATCTGGGTAACACATGGCAGCGTTTCTGTGGTGATATATTAAAGTAATTTATTTATGAAAGTGAAGATTGCTGGTGATAACTTATTAAGGTGATATGAAATAAGCATTACTGGTTCCTCTTTTGCACCAATTTACAGATGATTTTGTTGTATGGTACAATGAGATACCATGAAATTGTGTAGCCTCTCTCAAGAGAAGGTTGGCAATGATCGAAAAAAAGTGACTGACATTCAGTGAAGACAGTATCATATCAAGAAGTTCTGAAATGACTAAAAAAAATTATTTGAGATAGGGCTGTATTATTTTGAAATGCTTCATAATGACATCTCTATCATTAGAAATAAGTGGCTAATTGAGAAACTATTTGATACAATGTCATGAAAGAGTTTTGTTATCTTTTTGAAAATTGTTTTCTGGTTCTGATTATTTTGATTATATGTTTACTTTTAATGGTTTGCTTCTTGATGCTAATGAATACATCATACTCAATGTTTGTTCTATTTTTGGAAATGTTTCCCAATGTGGTTTGTCTTTTTAGAGAAATGCGAGGAAATACTTGTTGATTGTTCATTTAAAGGTTTTATTAACTCGCACAATCCAGTTTTATGGAGTCAGAAAATTCCTTGTTACCTTTATATCACATTAATGGAAAGGCAGTTTTGGGGAAATGTTTATTTAATATGATTTGAACAATCAATACGCATAATTTCTGATCACATAATGCCAGATGGTGACCCTCTCTTATGCTGTTAATAAGAGTCACACAGAATGGGCATGTGATGCACATGGATGTAAAGAATCGACAGTCATCTACAGTCACAGACCTTTTAAGCTTGTCGTCTAAATCAGTGTTGTTTAATTCTGTTGAAATATTTATCCCACCTATATTTAGTGTTATACATTTTATTTCTCTAGCGAGAGAAAGGTGTATGTCAGTATTCAATATTTAATTTGAAAACATGTTTTATCTGTTTTACATTGTATGATTTGACTATTGCTAAACGATATGATTTGTTCACAGGCACTTCACTGCAAGTAGTTTGTACTGTCAAGACAAATGTTAAAGGTATTGAAGGAAAAGGGATGTGTTTCAGTGCAACTGGGCTATGGTTGCAGGCACTGTATTGCCCCTGAATATAGCCAGAGTATCTGACAAGGGGCTTTAGTGGCTATCTTGCCCAAATGAGATTGACCAAAACATCCCTTTTAGCCCTGAACTAACCACAGGTGTATTGTTAGAGTCAAAATGTGGACATATTCCATCTGAGATGGAGTGAGTGAGTAAAGGGTGCTTTAAGCCGCATCAGCAATATTCCAGCTATTCGTGGCTAGCATCTGAGATGGATAACAATTTCCTGATAGCTAGAAAGACATTTTGGGGGTTATTTATATTATTGTTTTATTGCAAGTAAAACGTACAATGGTAGAATATAACCAGGACAAACTGTATTGGTATCCTGAAGATTATGTGGCAACATTGTAGGTGTGCAATCTCAAATATTATGTGATTTTTTAAGAAAGCTTTAATAGAATTGACCACAACAATTCATGTGAAACATGTAGACAGTGTTTATAGTATTTTGTATCATCTATTGAAGTTGGAGTATATTTTTGTACTTGTTTCTGTTTGGATTAGAAATGTTTTTAAGTGCATTTACCCTCATTTATCACCATTTATAGAAGCATGCAGTACAAGCTTGGACTCCGACAAGGACGTTTGTTTGAATTGTTGTTGTTGCACATGATACCATATTGGATAGTATGTGCCATTTATATATATTTTATGCAATTTAGATATATATGCTATGGATATTTACAATATTATATTTTGCATTACATACAAGCTACATTATATCACAATCTGTCATGTTTGGCTCATTTTCTTGCAAGCCACCCTTTATTTCATCACTGCGTTGATTCTTTTCTCAGACAAATGTTGCATATGGGATTATGCAGCATGGCTGCTTAAAGTACTATTTTATATTTGAGGAGCTTGTCTTAAGCTATATGCATACTGCCTATTTTGGGGTCTTAAAGATACACTTACCTCCATTGTCTTTACATGCCAACAAAATAGTTGTTTGTTCAGGTCCTCCTCCATTGGAACTGCCTGTAGAATGTCTGTCTGTAGTTTTTATCGTTAGGACTTGTCTCATGGCTGCTGTTCAGAGCACAAAATTAATCAAAACATAACAGTGGCTGTTGGGAAGATTTGACATAATTTCATGTGATTTAACAGGTTGTACAAATACTGCACTTTATATATCCTGGAAGAGTGGTTAGTGTAGTGGGTAACTGTGAGGAATATGTGATGAGAGATGTGTAACATGGATGTGTTGGATGAGCTGAAATGTCCGACATGGCCTCCTCACAGCAAATGGTAATCATTGTAAAAAAAACTAGCAGCCCTCATCAGATCAGATAAATGTGGCACAGTCAGAATGGCAACATGTCATATCAACATGAGCAGTTTGCAGTTCCACACCAACAAATGGCACCAACCGAGATGCACGTCAGATTTATAGTGCTAGCCCACTGACATACCATGCTGTAGTTTAACATGGATACCCACTCTGTGTACTGACTCCAGTCCTTGTTTTGCCCACTTAAAGCTGGGAACCAGGTAGAGTAACAAGAACCATCTTTTAAGTCATTTTGTATGATATGGCAACCTGCTCTTGTCCGGGCAGACACTACAGTAGGTAGGGCTGGGGTTTGACAGCACATTGTACAAGCCAACGCTGAGTATACCCTGCTGTGATATGGCTGGAATATTGGTAGTACAAGGGGCATAAAAGTAACTCACTCACTCATTATGGCATGAAGCATTTGATGCCGACATGTTCAGCTTGTCTTGTACTTCCATGTTATCATGTGTGTTGTTTTTGTTATTGGTTGTACTGGGTTGTATCCGTCTTCAGTAGCGTCTAGTCACAATGTTGTACAGGTTGTCCTAAGTGCTCCTCACCTTTAGCTGGTTTTAGTAATGTAAATAGAAGAAGGGTAGAGATTATAAAGTTTATGGTTATTTGATGGAGTTCTATGAATTAGTGCTTATAGTATCATCAGAATTTTACTTTGTTGATCAGTTAATTCTCCACTACTCAGGATTTTAAACTGAGTTGAATATGAACATATCAATTGAATTGATATTACCAAACTTTCACATACGGTTTTGTGGTTAATGCAGAAAGAAAATTGTCACCTTTGACTCTGAGTGACAAAATTCTACATGATCCACATTGATGGAGTGAAAAATAAATTCTTTCCATTGTAGCCAAAATTGTCCCCTTCGACACTGCATTAGTATGAAAATTAGACCTCATTTTTTCATATACATCACAGTGTATATATTGTTTCTGTACATATGACTCATTTACACTGAGAAGTTCTTTATGTGTATCATACACAGCCCAACTAGGAGCCTGGAACTCTGTGTCACCTAGAGTTAAGGAGCTCACACCTTTGTCTTATAGTAAGCCCATAATAAAGGCATGTTATTCTGTTTTAATGTCTCAAGTCTTCAGATCTCACCCTATCCTGTTTTCTATGGGGCAGCATGTATCTGACTCATGGAATCAGCGTAATTAACCATGTCTGCATTATATAACACTGCTTCGGACAACTGTTGCCTTGTGACAACCTAGCAGTACTGAAGTTTCGAGAATTCTGTAAGTGATATTCATTCTTTGACAAGGATAATGGAATTAAATAAATGAATTGATACAAAGTATCCAATAAGTGTGTAATCTCAGTTGAATGTCGGACAATTGCACATACACATGCAGACTATGATAACGAGAATGACAAAGCATTCAGTTTGAGTGTAATTTTGAACATAGCTGTAGCGTTAGTGTGGGGGACATGCCTCTGTTGGAGTAATCTTGTGAGTTATGTGATCCGAGAAGTTTGGTGTTACTTCTCACCATTATCATACTGTCTTCATGTAGTCATATCGTCTCTTTCTCTTAATAAAACACTGGCTGTGGAAGAAACCTTCTGTTGTTTGTATTCTGAAGTCATTCACCAATGATCAACTGTAGGAAGATCACACCCAGGAAGCTATGGTTACTGAAGATGTAACAGGAACAATTTCCTGAAGGTGTAACAGCGGAAAGGAATTCCTGAACACCATACAAAAGCATCAAAATAAAATAACCATGGATTTTTCAAAATTATGCATGACAATTGCAATGATGTACACTTTCTCAATATTACCTTTGATGACCCTGAAACTGTTCATGTATTCCATGTGTAAGAAATTCGTCACATATTCACAGTACACGTGGGACCCAGTCAAATTATATACAGTAACTCTATGCAATGTTTTAAACTGAAAAGAAACCGTTTACTGGCAATCTGAAAATGAGCGGTTGTGTGCCATTTGGAATGCCTAAAACCGGAATTGCACAAAGCGTTGTTGCAAAATGATTTGGTGTTCATCTAACACCATACGGCCCATACTCTGGGGTCTGAACCAACATACTGTACCCGTAAAGGTCCGGGGTAGAATGGGTCTTTAGCAACCCATACTTGCCGTATAAAGCGACTATGCTTGTAAGAGGCACCCGGATCGGGTGCATGGTCAGGCTCGCTGACCTGGTTGATGCCCCTATTTCACCGTAAAAAGGCTACTATGCTTGTTGTAAGAGGCGACTGACGGGGATCGGGTGGTCAGGCTCGCTGACTTGGTTGATTGCATGCCATCGATCTCAATTGCGAGGATCGATGCTCATGATGTCAATCACTGGATTGTCTGGTCCAGACTCGGTTATTTACAGACCGCCGTCATATAGCTGGAATAGTGCTGAGTGCGGCGTTAAACAAACAAACCGTACAGCGTGTGATTCAAAGGAACACTGGTCGTGTTGGAAATTGAGAAAGACGTTCAGGAAGATGTTAAAACACAGATTTCAAGGCTGAAAGGGGATAAATGTTGACGTGAGGAAAGGGGTTCTTAATTGTTGTTTGGTACAAATGACTAATCCTATCCAAGAACATGTACCATTTGTGTTTGAAAAGATGAATGTTGTTTCAACCAAGGGATAAATGGATGCCTATATAGCCTGTGGCAATAGAATAAAAGTTACAATGAAGAGTGGTATCAGAGCTTTGGACTTTGAAGGACCTGAAGAAGCAGGGATGGCATGATGGGTGTCGTTCCTGCGAAAAAAGACGAAAACGTCTACATCCTTACTTTTTATGTGATGTACATTGATCTCACCGTGCCAGTATTCGAATTATTTTTCAAATTCAGATATATAAAGCGTGTGTTTGTTTTCTCAGTAGCTAACCCAATTGTTATCTCCCAATTTCAGTTGTGAATAATATTTTTGTTATTTGTTCATTTCACTGTACTGTTAATTTCACTATCGATGTTTATCATATCTTGAATTGTGACACCTTTTTTTTTCTTCTCGCATATAATGATCTCACACATTCACAAACAAAAGGACAGCTGATAGAAAACAATCAAACATGCGCTCAAGTATGCGATACATTTGATAGAAACTGTGATCAAGCATTGTACGCTGGTGAGTAAATGAATGATCTCGTACACCGCAATATTGCAACCGAATGACGGTTATATGGACCAGGAATTGGACACACTTAATTGTAAGTGTATAATCCACGCCCTCCGGGTACAGTGACACGATCGGCCGGGCGACTTAGTTTGCCTCCCCGCTCGTTAACCATCAAGACACCATTCATGCCCACGCCATGATATAACTGTAATGCTGTTAAAAGCGGCGTTAAACCCAACTCACTCACCATTCATGCCCAGGAGTCATTGTGTACAATCACCTCATGTTGAAGACAAACATACCACTCTACTGATGCTTGCAGTGGTTGGAAGGTTTCTGTGCTTGAAAACCTAATTATTGTCGCATCAGCAACTGTTTATTAGCAGAGAATATATATCAAAGAGAATATATATCTTACAATGACTGTAAAAGATATGATGATAATTCGAAATAATGTATACTCTGCAAATAAAGAAGCGCAAAAGTAGTACAATCGTAAATATCTGACAGAGTATTACCGACATCCCTACAAAATGAATACCAACATGAGCTGGTCAATTCTGCGTGGATTGGGATTGATTTGTGTGAACAGAATGAGGTACCGCAGAAATTTGGTGAAAAGATGGAAAAACCGCCAAAACACAACCACGACTGACGGAAGCCAAACGCAACAACGCCTGTTTTTTCCACGTCGCACAATAAGATTGGAACCGTTGTCAGACATACGACACAACACGTGACCTTCCCAGATCCGGTCGACTACGTATCACTACTAGAGCACAGGATAGATGGATACGGCTACGTTACTCACTATACGTGAAGGAACCACCACGGCCACCTCTACAACTACGGCAATACCAGGAGTGCGAAGGATATCAGACCAGACAGCGAGGAACCGTTCACGCGCTGAAGGTATTCGCGCTAGACAGTCAGTTCGAGGTGTCATTTTGACGGACCTGCATCGTCGGCTGCGACGTCAATGGTGTCACGATCACAGAGCATGGCCACAACTGCGAAGGAGACAGGTTTGGTTCAGTGACGTTTTTCAGTCACGTTTTATGCCCCGCGAGGCAGAGTGGGTGAACATTCCCGATGCCACAATTCTGGATCTAATTGCTTCCATGGGACGACCATGCCAGTCAATTTGGACTCAGTGGTAGCCATCCAAGACATTGGGAACAGATGACCTTCACCTCGAACATCTACTGTTCCATATGTGCCATATAGAACCTGGGTCAAGGACAATGCTGTGTGCCAATTTTGAACAATCGATTACCATTTATTGATTATTATTATTTGGTGGATTTGGTGGATTGATGTCATCGTACCTCGACGGGGTGGCTGCTGCTTCCAATATCGAACGCTGGTTTGTCTAACCTAGATTCGATCATTGCAGGCCCCCGTCTTTTCGATGGACTATTGCTGGGGCGGCGTTAAACAACAAATAAACAACAGTACCATTGGCTTGAACATCATTAGTAACGTGGACAGCTGTTTTTTCGGACGAGGAACGTCCGTCTACATCCGTACAGTCCTCTATGATTCCTTATTCCAGAAACATGTTAAATCCGGACGTTGCACTGGGGTTGTCATCGTCCGGATAATCGGGGTTTTAGTTAGCATACACTAAACATTGGATGTATCCATCGTTTTGCCGAACGCTGCAGTCATGGTTTGCCTGTCTACCATTGTCCATTAATGATAAAGGACAAGATGGGTACACTATTTATCGATTGTCAGAACATTATTTCATGGCTTGACTTCAACTTTCCAATAGTCAACTGTCCCTTCATGTCCAGCAATATTCCAGCAGCTCCAGCCTTTGGTGTTTACATTTCACAACTTTTGAGATACAATCGAGCATGCTCTTTCTACCAAGATTTCAAAGTGTGTCATACAACTCTTGCTCGGATCTTGCTTCATCAAGGTTACACCATTCAAGGCCCCAATAAAGCTTTCAAAACGTTTTATGGTAGACATGTGGAGGACTATTCCAAATTTAACGCATCAGTGACAAAAATGATATCCGATGCAAATCCCTATTTTGACTTTTACCATATGATGCCGTTATTTTTTCAGGTGAACAATTGATTTTCCTTTGCATGTGTTTGTTACAGGTGCCACCGGTGGGGAAGAATACGCTCACCTTTTCGCGAACACCTGGTTACATTACTATTTGATAGTGATTCATACACACATGCTCATGATACAGTCGGAATCGTGCAGTCGACTCGGCTTAATGCCGAGGTTTCTTGTAGATATGGAAAGGGTTTTGTCCCTTTATTTTCCAAGGTGGCATCGATTGTTATAAATGGTTTTAAATATTTTCAGCCCTAAGAAGAAACACGAAAGTGCCACATCGAATCAATTATTTGTTTGAAGGAATTTCCCCACCCGTTTTCACCCAAATTATTAATAATATCTATTTTGTGTAGTGATCGTCTGAACCCACAAAGGTTACCAATATTACCTATGTTGGCTACAAATATCTGTTAAAAATTCAAAACGTTCATTTTGGAAAATTAGCAGTGTAGTGGTATTTGATAAAAAGACTAAAAAGAGAATTGTTTCTCGGACATTGGCGCGTCACTCCAAATTCTGTGCGTCTGTCACTTTTATTGCCAATAAAACATTCTTCAAATGTCCTGCATAATATAAACCGGGCTGTTATCTATGTTCGACGACTGACGTTGAATTAACGCCCGACTTCTGTGTTCTAAGGACCGCCTCCATGGTCTAGAGGTAGAGCGTCCGCCCGGAGAGCGGAAGGTCCGGAGTTCGATCCCCGATCGCGTCATACCAAAAGACGTTAAAAGATGGTACTTGTTGTTACCCTGTCTGGCGCTCGGCATTAAGGGGCTAAAACAAGGACTGGTCGGCTCTGAGTCAGTATACTGTGTCTGAGTGGGGTATTCATGTTAAACTGCGGCATGGTATCTCAGTGAGCTAGCACTATAAATCGGCATCAGTCCGGATTAGTACAAGCAGCCACACAAACACACACACGTACATGCACGTCGCTATATAAGTGCAATAATCTTGGACGCGACGTTAAACCCCATTTCACCTCACCTCTGTGTTCTAAGCTGTGTCAGTTGATACCTTTTGTGGGGAAAGATATACAGTGTTCTTTCTCATCACTATTATTTTCGATAAAAATATATAATAAAAGCCTTATACCTCCCAACTCGCTTTTGAGAAACATTATTTTTTATGCGTCCTAAGAAGGTCCGAGTAAAATATATGTTGTATCTATTTAGTTCAGGATAATTAGAAGGTTGCGCTAGACGTTCAACTGTTTTTTCTCAAATACGGGCATATACGATTAGTAACTCTGAACATTTTTCAGGGTAATTTCAGGTGTTTTTTTCATACTTGGTGCATTTATTTGAAAAAGTGTATTTTCCGAGCTCCGAGAATTTATTGTCCAGAACACGTTTTACAGAACTCTGTGGATGCTGAGATT